TAAAACCAGAGGGAGCCATATTACTCCTACAACCTACTGACAAATTATACATAGCAGATCAAGAAATATATGACTAGGTAAGGTTTATCTGAGGACAATTGCCCAAGATTTATCTACATGACATACAGTAATTAAAAGTACCAGACTGGTGGAACTAACCACCTTGGATGTTTAACAGACATACTTTGAGGCCTATACTAATTTGGTCAGAGGGACATAAAGGACAGATTTTGCTCCTTGCCCTCCTAGGTCGACTAAGTTCTAGGGCACTATGAGCATTTCTCAAAATGTCCTTTTTTGCTCCTTGCCCTCCTAGGTCAACTAGTTCCAGGGGACTATGAGCATCTCTCAAAATGTCCTGTAATTGTGGTGGGTCCCCTGTCCTCTTGATCAAGGAGGCCTAGGAGATCCCACCAGATGGACTTGAACCAGTGTCCAATCTACAAAGAGGAGGGTCAGCACAGAGGAATCATTTCTTCCAAAAAAAGGAGCCAGGGCTCCTCCCAAGCCCATGAGACCCCTGAGGAACAGATTTTCAAACAACCTTAAGAGCAAAAATAAATTGGTTTATCTGGGTCAACTGTATGGCCTTAACCATTCAAAAGAAAGTATAACCAAAGAGTAAAGGTGTCAATATAATTTATTAAGAGTCCATATGTATAGCTAAAGGCTACATAACAAGCAACAATGCCAGATAAGAGATACAAAGGAACTCCCAGACAGTAACCCAGCATAGAACTGGGGAAATGAACAGCAGACCCCAATCTTATCTAAAGCAATATTGACAACTGATTGCTGCTAGATGTGGAACAGATGACCTTCCTAAAAGAAAGAGCTCTAGATTGGCTGACTAGATTCACCAGAAGGGCAAGTAGTGGGGAACGGCTGGGGGTGCCGACAACACAGCAGACAGTAGCAGGGATATCAGAGTATAAGGGCTCTAGTGGGGGGGAGGGGGCTATGGGAGGGTGCCATCTGAGAAGTGGGTATGTAGTTGAATAAGATGGTTTGGGATGTTCTGTGTGATATACACAAAAAATCAAATTTTAAAAAATGTATTATATTTGAGGAGGAAGCCTAAAAATTTATATCATACTAATTAGTAGAGGATATAAACGTTACCATTGAGATCTGCCTAATGACTTTATGGACATACACAGGACCCAAGGATGTGAGTGCAACCGATTATGACTAGTAATAATCAGATACATACAGATTAGAGATGCATGTGCCAACATCTCAGTGTTAGTAGCAAAAACAATGAGTCTTTCTGTAAGAAACAGTATATTTTAAAATGAAATGGAGATCTTTTTTAAAGGTTAAAAACTCATTCAATTTTATGTCTTACAGGGCTTATACTGAGTTCAATATTGTATAACTGTATTAATTCAACAGCGAACCTAAAAATTTTATAGCCACTTTTTGAAGTGATGTATCTTTGCTCTGGAAACTGTTATGTTAAAGCTGTGATGAAAGCTTCTAAAAATTAAAAAATATTAAAAAAATGTTCTTAGTCATCAAAGACTAAGAATAGAGTAAAAAACCCTCTCCGATCATTATTTTTGTTCTTTTTGAATTTTTTCTTTTAGCACATTGAGATCTTTCGTGCTAAGCAGATCAGTGGTCCTCTCCTCCTCAGATCCGTTGCTGCTTTGAATTCGTTGTGTATATATTTCATTAATTTGGAACATGTTAAACTTGTAATTCCTCAGCTGATATTTCTTTAAGAAATATTTCTGTCGCTCTGTACCCCCCCCCCCCCCGTAGGCCAGAAGTGGAGCCTCAGGTGTTGTTCCTCAGGCTCTGTCTACTTTGATTTTCCAGACAGGGTCTCTCCTTGGCCTGGAGCTCACCTGAGTAGGCGGGCAGGCTGGCCAGCAAACCGCAGGGATTGGTTCTCATCAGCTTCTTGAGATTGAGCTCAGGTCCCCCGTTTGCACAGCCAGCACTCCACTGGCTGAGCCGTCCACAGTTCTGCTGAAGGGCCTCTGAGTAACAGTTTAGTTTACTGATGCTGCCGACTTTTCTTGGTGTCTTTAAGTTTGCCGCTTTCAGCAATGTTTAGTCTGCTGCGGATCCCCTCTAGTATGCCTTTTACATTTTATATTGCAATTTTCCTTTGTAGGCCAACTTCAGGCTTAAAAAATCCTTTATTTCTTACTTGATAAGCTCAATATTCTTTTTAGCTTCTGAACTGTGAGGAGTGCTCTGAGCACTGTTAGGGTCACTACTGGGTTTACTGCTTAGTTCTCTGGGGGACACTGCCCTGAGCAGCTCTCTGGCTGCCAGGCCACCCTCACATTGGCTGCTGCCAGCGCCGCTTCCCCTGGGGAGGGTGCCAGCCTTGCTTGCTCTGGTAGCACTCACGGGCTTGGGCTTGTTTTCCATCCCACAGCAGTATCTGTCCTTCATTACCTCATACCCAGGGTCTTAAAGACAACCGTGTGCATGTTTTACCCAGTTTAGTCCTTTCAGGTAGGAGGGACATCTTACCTCTTTTACTCCTTTTTGGCTAGCACTCGATACATGCGGTCATATTTCTAATTGATATAATTGAACAGAACATACTTTCACAATAAGACTTGTCAATGAATACCATAGTATGTGCCCCCCAAATAAATATTTTAAAAAGGGGGTTGGTGAGATGGCTTAAGTGGGTAAAGGTGTGCTGACTCCCACAAGTTGCCCTCTGACTGCCACGTGCTTGCTGTGGCTCTCACACACACGCACACACATGCACACTCATGCACACACACACGCGCACATGCGCACACACACATGCACATTCATGCACACGCACGCACACACACACAATTTTTTCTGATATAGTGCTGTCATCTTCCGTTCTGTCCTTAGAGTAGATCCTTGCTTAGTTTTCAGTGACTGTGTTTTTAATAATTAGAACACTTGGCACAGTGAGCCTATTTACACCAATCATGTAAGCAACGATGTTTGAAATGACTACAGATTTTATTATTTCACACTCTTTACCTGTTTTTGACCCTGCCTTAGCTAAGATTATTTCAGAAGTCTGATGAGGGGAGGGAATCTGAACCCCTAGTGAGGAGAGTCTTGAAACTAAGCATTACTTTGAGTCTAGAGATTAATTTTTAATAAAAACAGTTTATAAGTTTGATTTGATAAGAATACAATATGTGTTCTTTTTGACGACCTTCTATTGAAACCCTGAGTATGTGGTCAGACGTCTGTGTCCTAGGCCAGCTCATGTAATTCACTGCTAACATCGCTCTGAGCCCTTTGCGCATCTTGCTTCCTAAGCACGACTCGGCCTTGTGCTCCTTTACCAACATGAACATGCTTGCTTGGAGAGAAGTTGACTCAGGTGGGCCAAAGAATATACGTTCCATTGACTTACACTATGGGTGGAGTAATCTGCTCTTTCTTAAAATGAGATTGTATTCTGTGTACCAGTTCTTTAAAAGTATGAATAGAAAAAAGATTGTTTTGGAAGGCATTATATATAAAACATTCTTGGTTGAGTCCTTGTGGGGAGGCAGTGAGCAGCTTGTCATGAGGAGTGTTGCAATGCTGTGTAAGGGAACATCTTACAGAGATACAGGACAGGCTCCAAGGGCATATCTGGTATCTGGGCTTTGAATTGTTTTTTGTATTTATTCCATGTATTCATTGATCTCTGGGTCTCTTTAACAACAGTTTGGCATTGCCTTGCAAATTCATGTGCATTGGTTCCAGTGGGAGTGACCACAGAGCTGCTTTTGAAATGCCCTGACCTTATTGCACTGTTTGCATAGGGAGATTCTTTGCCACCCATAAGCTGCTCCTTGAGGATCTTGGTAGTATTTGATGGAAGTGTGTTGGGGAAAGGCTGAAAGACAAGTTCAAAAGTCAGTGATGATGTGAGATGGAGTCAAAGGTACTTTTTAAATCACCCACAAAATCCTTAAATTGCCATAGCAGATGTGGTACGTAATTGTGTCTGTGCAGTGCTGTGGGAGGCGTCTCTTATTTCTCGTAACTATGCTGTGGTTTCCTGTGTCCTCACAGAGCTCCTCAGTGTTTTCCTCAAGGTTCCACAATGCCATGCTCTCCCACCCCACTCACCACCTGACTGCTGGGCTTCATTTCCCTGTCCACGGTGAGGAGGCCTCCCACTCGTGCCCTTTCCAATAAGTATTGAACGGAGCCCGACACATAATCATGAAATAGCGACTTTTTAAAGGTTCTTTCAATGAAAACAGACTCTGTGTGTGTGTGTGTGTGTGTGTGTGTGTGTGAGTTGCAGTAACTTAGCTGCATGCACAATGCAGTCCTCCCTGCACTCTCGGCCTCCTTTCCACTTTGAGCTGGACCATTCAACTCTGAACAACAATGTTTTATTGGAAGGAAATGGTCCCATTTGTCTGCCGCTATGATAAACACTAAGAATTGTAAGGCATGGCCCTGAGCACTGGGTTACAGCCGTAATCTTCCATGCATGACTAGTGGGGAAGATGGGCTGGAGTGAGTGGCTTGCTCTCTAAAGCAGGCGTGAAGCCCAAGCAGGTGACTGGCTTACTCCTGCCAGCCTTTGTGTGTCATGTGAAAAGGACTGCATGGATGTGAAGAAGGTCAGGGCTGGCTCGGACTACCTTGCTAGAAAACAGTTCCAAGAACATTCCACTAACAGCTGAGGAACAGCTATTCACCTTGGCCTGAACTGCATTTGTTACAGATGTACATTTATACATCTTGCCTCACAATATTAAGGGTTCTTTTACTTATTTTAACAGGAATCACTAGATTCGACCTACTTGGAGACTTTGGAAGGTTTAACTGGCTGGGGAATTTCTATATTGTGTTATCCTACAATTTGCTCTTTGCCATTGTGACAACGTTGTGTTTGGTCAGAAAATTCACCTCTGCCGTCCGAGAAGAGCTTTTCAAGGCCCTAGGTAATCCTCAGGTGTATGACATTTCTCTCCTTCTACTAATTGTGATTTTAACATTTGAGTTGATTTGGAGTCAGTGTGCATGACTGTCAGCTCCATTTTTGACCCAGCACGCATGGCTGTGGACCACAAGGCCCTCTGTAGGTGTGTGGGGAAGAACTGCAGTGGCTCTTGTGGGCCTGGCCTCAGCACAGTGCTTGGGACATTCCAAGAGCTCAGGAACGTGTCAGTTTCTTGGTTCTTATCACATGGTGATGGGGATGACACTGTGTTGAAGTCTTGCTTTTTGGTAATGAGGCTTTTTACTGTTTTTTTACTAGAAGCTATTTTTTGGGAATTTAGATTTTGTATATGTCCAGACAACATTTAATTCTCTTCAGTAAGCCGAATAACTCTGGCTAACAATATTAGCATTGGCACTGACAGAACAGCAAGGTTTGCTGTCATGGACTCTGTCAGGTGCATCACGGTGGTGTTGAGAACTGCTGTAAGATATGTGTGTCCTCAATTGCTTACTTTCACACTGATGGAAACACAGTCCGTATTTTATACTTTTGGGTCGCCAGGATACTAGAAGCTGTCTTGGGCCTGGAGTACTTTACTTTATCACAGAAGTAGGGAAAAGGGGATGATTCATTGTGGGAAATAATAGAAAACTCTGGCTCATTTGTCTGAGCTGAAACCACTTGAATGCTTATGCTGTGGTTTTAGATATTCCAAAAGGTAAAATATTAAAAGATTTTAGGGTTATCTCTTCAGGGGGGGGGGAATATTAGAGTAGCAAAAAGCCCCATAAAAAAAAGAAAGAATACATGAAGTCAGTCGTGTGTCAGGAAAAAGTGATAGGGAAATATGGAGGAGTTGGAGGGGAGGGAGTGGACATGGATTTGATAAAAACATATGCATGTATGAAATTCTCAATAATTTTTTTTAAAGTTAAAAAAAAAAGGCCGGGCGTGGTGGTGCACGCCTTTAATCCCAGCACTCGGGAGGCAGAGGCAGGTGGGTCTCTGTGAGTTCAAGTGGCAAGGTAAGCAAGCAGAGTCCCAGACACAGGACACAGGCAGGGGAGATACACAGGAGGGCTGAGAAAGTAGGTTTTTAAAAATTAAAAAAAAAAACAAAAATATATATTTTTGGTGTTTTTTGAGACAGGGTCTACTGTAGCCTCAGGTGGCCTGGAATTCTCTCTAGGTAGACCAGGCAGGCTACCACACCCAGCTCCTTAAAAAAAAAAAAAAAAAAAAAAAAAAAAATTAAAAAAAACAAAAAAAAAAAAAAAAAAAGACTTCAGCACAGAAAAAAAGAAATAGTAAATACTGTGCCTAAATTCTCACACTTAGTAAACTAAAATGTAAGAAGTAATTTAGATGATGTGTCTTGGTGTGTTACATGTCAGAACTAGAGAGTTGTGGGATTGGAAGTATCACCAAAAAATAACAGGAAAGGAGGGGAAAAGGGAACCCTGTCCTACTAGTTAAATTATAGCTCTTCTTTTCTAGGGTTATTTAGATAAAACATTCAGATTTTACTAATATTAATTTTTGATATACAAAATATAATGAATCATCATGTGCCCATCACCAAATTATAAAAAGAAATCATTACAAACATAAAAAGGCAACATATTGATTGATTCATTAAGGCCCGATTTTCAGATAACTTAAACTATGCAGTAGTAAAGCTTATGCTACCAGCCTATCTGACCTTGATAACTGAAAGGATGACATTTGGAGGAAAAGTCCAGATTACTTGTCCCTATGTAGTCCACCTTCAATATGCACTGGGAAGAGATAATAGTTGATTGAACTGTTGGTTAAAGTACCAGATAATTTATAAATGCTAGTGCCTGGCTTTTCACAACACTGGCCACATTAAAAACAGCCAGATAAAGTAAGACTCAAGTAATCCTCCCAGTCACATGTCTAGTTGAAACTCCATTTCCAGCCTATTATTATCAGCGAGTTGGGTTACCCTCAATCTCCTCAGAACGATTCCCACTTGCTGCACACTGGGATGGCTGCAGTGCATCAGTCCTGGAGTGAGGTGCTCAGATGATATCTTGCTGTGGTGTTGCTGTGGAGGCAATAAGCAGAGCTCCACAGAGGCCAGAGCCTCTAGGTCACTAAGGCAACGGCCGTAGAATGCAGTGAGTTAACCAGAGTTGTGTAAAACTACCCAACAGTAGTTTCCTTTCCAGATGTTTTCCTTACCCTTTGGGTGCTCTTTGGGGCATTTCTGTGTATAGAAAAGCTCCTCTTTAAACACACACAAGGCTCAAATGGCCCAGGATGTTAAGTCTCACATATTTAACCCGTTCACAACAGGTCTTCTCAAGAACATGTGATGACAGGGCTGGAGGGGCGGCTTTTGGAGCTGCCTATGGATGAGTGACATTGCAGTCTTTTCAGAGTGCACATCCTATGTTGCACCCAAGGTTTAGAAGTGAACCTACCCCAGTCTTCTGTCTTAAAAGTGCGGATCCAGGGCCCGGCATGTGGCTCAGTAGTAGAATGCTAGCCTGCCGTGCATAAGGTCCTGGGTTCCATTCCCAGCACTGCACACATCCACACACAGTGTGTTCAGGTCAGTGCAGCATGTGCGTCCCTACTTGCCCTACTTCCTCCCTTTCCCATTTCCCGACAAAGCAAGCTTTGTTCGGCGCACGTCCTGTCTTCCACTTCAGAGTCTCCTCTGGTCACTCCGCGGTTTTGCCATTCTTGCAACCAGACCATTTATTTTGGGCTGACTTCCTTCTTTCCTCCTTTTCAGTCATAGGTTCAAGCTCACCTTTTCTTTCATTGTTAGTAAGAGAGACTTTAAATTCTGGGGGAAGGTGTTGGTTTAGGAGTGATATAAAACTGCCCAACAGGAGGATTACTATCTGGAAGTTCAGAAGGAATTCTTTCCAGCTTAGTTCTTGAGGCAGGCAAAGGTCTGAGCCTCTTGGGAATTACCCTGTAGTCTCTGCTGCATCTGCTGCTGTGGATCCTCCTACGTCTTGGCTTTCACTTTGCTTAAGTGCTTGAAGCTTTAGTCCTACCTAATCTCTGACTTTTCCTTTATGACCCATATGTCAGGTGTATTGTATAAGAAATCACTGTGCTACAGAAGGAAATTAACACACTGGAAAGTCATGATGGCTGTGTCTTCTGTGAAGCACCTTTAAGCCATGGAGTGGATTTATGTTCAGTCTGCTCCTTTGTCTTGATTTTTAGTTTTTTTCCACCACTTTTGTTTTAAATTATATGATTAATGTTTTTGTGTATCATTCCTACACTTTCGTGTGTGTGTGTGTGTGTGTGTGTGTGTGTGTGTAAAAAATAGCCATGTGTCCGTCATGTTAGCTCCCTTGGGCAGTCAGTGCACATTGTGATGGGAGTGTGCTTGCCACAGGAGGATGCTTATGAGGGGAGGGAGGGACAGTGGAGAAATGAACTGTGATCTTCTGGGCTGTGAGGCCCCTTGGAGTCCCAGTAAGGAGCTGGGGGAATGGTTCAGCCAGTAAAGTGTTTGCTATACAAGCACAAGAAACTTGTTCAGTTCCCAGAACCCATGTAAAAAAAGCCAGGCATAATCCCAGCACAGAGGGGTAGAGACGGAACCCTGCTGAGCTGGAAAGAACCACACCCATGTTTCACCCAGACACATACACACACACACAGACCCCCCCCATCTGCTACACACACATCTGTCACCCAGTCACACACATGCACACAAACACACGCCTGTCACTCCCCACACACATCTATCACCCAGTCTCTCTCTCTCTCTCTCTCTCTCTCTCACACACACACACACACACACGTCACCCAGTCACACACACATATATATACACACACACACACACCTATTTGTCACCAAGTCACACAAACACATATATACACACACACCTATTTGTCACCTAGTCACAAACACATCTGTCACCAAGTCACACAAACACACACATATATATGTACACACACACCCCTGCTTGTCACCTAGTCACACACACTCACCTGTCACCCAGTCACTGAAAGTTGCAGCCCTGGCAGGGGGGTTGTGGGAGGTATGACCTCTACAGAGGGCCTACAGGGAGCTTTAGACACCATACCGCAACCTGCAAGAAAGCGGCCCTACTGCCGGGCAGAGCGTCCAGCCGCCTTGCCCAACCACTCAGCAGTGTTCCTCTCTCACCTTGTCCCAATTCATCTGCAGGGCTTCACAAACTTCATTTATCAGATACTTCAAGGGATTCAGAAGCTACAAAACCTTCTGCAAATGGGCATCAGAAAGTACTGTGAGACCTGCCTGCCTCAGCAGTTCTGCAGCAAGCCCTGAGGACTCCTGACTCCAGACATTCCGCAGACACTGAGAGCTCACATGGGCCCCCCTGCCTGCCTGTCATTGCCACCTTCTCATCAGCCACTGAGAACTTGGCAGTGCTGATCTTGTTTCTCAGTTGAATTTGCAGACAGATCCCACAGCTCTGGTTAAACCCAGTGTCTTAAAGACCAAGGAAAAGCAGCTTTCCTGCAGATGCCCTTCAGCAAAGAGCCGTTGGACGAGCGCTCTCACAGACGTGAAGACGAGGTGAAGACGTGAGAAGAGGCGGACTCCGTGACTTCCTCATGCTTTGCCTGAGCAGGAGTTTGGTTCTGCAGGTGGAGCCCGCCTGAGGGTTGCCTGGTGCCGCCAAAGCTGCTTTAGAAAGTCACAGAAATAGCTAGACCAGTTACAAACTATGTTCTTATTTCCTGAAAAAACAAAAGCAGAGTTTCTGATTCCTGTTAGAGAATCTTCATTAGACTTCAAGCCAATGGAAAAATAGGAAATTCTTTTCAAACCTGAGGCTTGGTGGGTAGCCCCAGGACAATCTCTGCACAGTGTGGTAAGCTGAGGTAGGAAGTGTGTGTGATCCTTAGTTGCGGATTAGTGTACCTGATATTACCTCTCACAGCACAGTTGCTGGTGTTGTACACACTTGTAACTTAGATTTTGCCTTACAAGGCCATATGTACACTCACTTTTTAAACCACATTTTTTAAAAATGACTTCATTCCTGTCCTTCTGTGATGCCTGTGGAACCTCCAGAAGTTGAGTGGTAGATGCCACTTCTGCCTCACCTTCTGCTTTTGGTTTTGTATGCGCTGCTCTGACTTATGGCAGTTAACAGAGTAACAACACCTAGGTCTCCCAAGGTCAGACCTCCCTGGACGAACAGGGCTGCAGTGCAGCCTGATCTGACCATTATTCAGGGACTTAGATGTAATTGTTGGGACAGTTTCCTCATACAACCACATGTTCTGGTACCTGTCCCTAAGGTCGTGCACAGTTCACAGTGATGCAGCCTGTGGGTATACACATGTACTGTGTGGATGGCAATATAGGGTCTGTGTTCAGACAGAAGTAAAACATTTTCTCAAATTGTTGAATTTAGTTTCTTTTATAGAAATTTATTAAAAACAGGCTATATCTGATGCAAAAATTTTCACTTAGAAGCAAAATAATGTGAAATTTAGCCAGTACTTTCATAAGCCATTGAGGAGACTTCTTTACCCACATGGTGGCATCCCTCTCATGCTCTGTCTTCAAAGTGCAGCTTAGTTTTAAGATAAAGAAGCATTTGTGTTGTGGTTCTGAGTGACTCAATCCATATCTCCAGTCTAGTTTCTGTGAATTTTTGAGCATAAGGTCTACATAGGTACGCAATAAAGGTCAGTCGCTTTCAAACCTCTCTGTTTGTTATGCCTACTTTCGCATTAGTTCCAAGCTCTGCTGTTTCCGCAAACTTGAAATTCACGCTCTGAGCAGACCAAGTCAAGGGGTGTTATGAGGGCAATTCAGGATTTCACTGAAATTACTTTAACCTCACACCACTTTAGGACACATCAATGCAGAGCTCCTGGGATCTGTAAGGCAAGATGTCTGAAAATTTCATAAAGTATTAAACTTTTCAACATCTGTCTCAACTTTGCTCTTTTTGTTTATTATTTGTGTGTGTTGACCATGCATGAGTGGAGGTTAGAGGACAACTTGCAGGAGTCCATTCCCTCTTGTCACATGAGTCCCCCTGAGCCATCTCACTGGCCTGTCTCAACTTTTTGCCCATTTGGAAGTTCCTTTCCACAGTTAGATACTTTGGTCATAGCTTTGTGGGACTGGCTGGTAGATCAAGATGAAGCCTGTTGGGTCTGCCTCTCCCGGCCTCAAGGGCTATACCTGTTCATGGTGGCTACAGCTGCTGCCTCTACTGCAGGGCTGCTTCCTGGTGTGTGACCTCCTTTGTTCTCAGCTCCTTCCTTCCTAGGAGACCCAGATTTCACACAGTAGCTGTGCAATTGCTCTGTGCCTGCACTATGTGTTTAGCTAGCTCCTCAGGACGCACAGTGTAAGGTCCAGTTCATAGCATGGTAGACTGACCAGCAGCTTTCTACATGAATCTTGGCAACAGTCATCTCCTTACAGTCAGTTCCTAGAAGTGCAGGTCCTGGATCATGCTCACCTGGACAGAGTGCTGTCCTTTGGCTAGTCTCCTGTGTTACCTCTCTGGCCACTCCTGAAGAGGTCCCTGGGCTGAAAGGCTTTCTCAGCCTGGACCCTGAGCACATGAGGACATTTCACCCCTCAGCTTCTCTTCATGCCATCTGGCTGCTGCTGGGAACCACCTCTGCTCCATGTTTTGCCCCCTCAAGTCAGCTGCTGCTGCAGACCTTGTCACAGCCAGGGCAGGGATGAGAAGATGAACACATCCATCTGTGCACTGTATCTGCGAGCAGCCTCCTTGGTCAGACCAGGGCCTAGGGCCAAGGTTGGAGCCAAGGTCTGAGGTCTCGGGTGACTGAGCACTCTGGGGTGTGAGGCAAGAGGAATGATAGTGCATCTGACATGGGACTGTGCGCTTTGAGCCTGGCCCTTGGAAGTTTTTTCTTTTTTGTCTTTTTAAGACAGGATCTCCCTGTAGCCTCAACTGGCCTGGAGCCCACTATGGAGACGAGGCTGACCTTGATCACACAAAGAGAGATCTGCCTTGATTCTGCCTCCTGAGTGCTGGAATTAAAGGTATGTGCCACCATGCCCAGATGATATATGGTCAGTTTTTGTTTTTTGGTCTTTTTGAGACATGGTCTCCCTGTAGCCCCAGCTGTCCTGGAACTCACTATGTAGACCAGGCTGGCCTTGAACCCATAGAGATCCGCCTGCCTCTGCCTCCTGAGTGCTGGGATTAAAGGCAGGTGCCACCATGCCCGGTTTATGGTCAGTTTTTTGTAAATGTTCCCTGGGTCTTAGAATATACAATATTCAGACTTTTTGCATTAAAAATTTTAACATCTTATTTTGCATGTGTGTGTATATGTGTGGGCACATGTGTGTCATAGCACATGTGTGGAGGCCAGTAGACATCTAGTGGGAGTTGGTTCTCTCCTTCCACTATGTGGATTCCAGGGATTGAACCCAGGTCGCCAGGCTTGGCAGCAGGTGCCTTTACCCACCAAGCCATCTTGCCAGCCCTCCGGATTTAAAATAAAAATGTATTATTTTTATTTTATGTGTATGAATGTTAACACCTGCATGTAGATAAGTGCCCCGTGTTGTGCAATGCCTATGGAGGTCAGAAGAGGCTGTCGGATACCCTGGGACTGGAGTTACAGACAGTTGTTAGCTGCCATGTGGGTGCTGGGATTCGAACCCGTGTTCGAATCAACCAGTGTTGTTAATCTCTGAGCCATCTCTCCAGCCCCAGCCCTCTGGATTTTTTAATACAAATGTTCATAGCATCATAATAATTAAAGCCTGTAAGCAGCCCAGGTGTCCATAAACAGGACATACTGTGGAATATACATACAATGAATTGTAACCTAGATGTTCTGTTTTCTTATGTTCATGGCTTAACAAAAAAGTTGAGTTCTCCTTTGTTCTGTTCATTTTTCCTAATAATTCATCATCCTCTTTTGATTCAAGCACTTTACAGTTACTTGCTTCATGAAGATTTAGGAGTTACATCCTCCTTGCAGATGGTGACATGAATTATTATAAATGCCTCTGGCCCTACCAGTATTCTTTCCCTGGATTTGGTAGTGGCTTTACAATTGCCTACATTCCAGGGCATGCTAGGCTCCTAAAGTAACAATCAGGGTATGCATGAGGAGAAGGCAAAACTGGCTTTGTCTTGCAAGGTAACACTGAGATACCTACCAAGCTAAGGAAGAGATCAATTCACAGGACTGCTCTGAGGAAGCCACAGTGAGAGCTTGGGATGTGGTACCCCATGGCCTTGGAACCTTCTCACCAACTTATGGCTTCCCAACCAATTCTCTAATTTCTACATGGCAGACTGAGGCTGTGGTGAAATGGTGAAGGTTTGCCCTGTGCATGGTTCCCTGGAGGCCTTCTGTCCTATTTTTGTCTATTCAGGAAGGTCACTTTTTCATAAGGAGGTTACCTGGTTTGTCTGACTGTCACAAGCCGCCTGAGGCTTTGCTCTTAATACTCGTGGGATTTTCACTGCCCTCAGGACCCCAATGAAATCCATGCCCAATGCAGACTTTATCCTGAGGATTATTCCTCTATTAGCAGTGTGATGGCAAAGAACAGAAATGGATTCTGTCGGCCTCAAGAGAAGGGCTACTGTGAAAACACAGGTTTCAGGGACAGCAGTGAGGACGCATCTTCGGCATGGCTTCCCTCTGTAGGCACGGCGGGCGCGGCAGGGCAGTCAGACTACCTGAGCCTTTGCTGTGTGCCTGTGTTCTGTCCATTAGATTGGAGACAGCTCTGCCACTTGGGGCCTCTGAATGGAAAAGTGGGGCTCCAGAGTGTGGCTCTGCCTCTGCTACTTGTCTAAGTGTTCTCCAAGTTAGTGTCCAGATGTTGTAATGGTATATACATCGTTAAGAAAATTTTAAGTATACCTTCACACATGTATATTAATTTGGATTATTTTATACATATAAACCATAAATTGATCAGAGAATAAAAGGATAAAATAAATAGAAATATAGTCTTCTTACACTGTATAGAGGGTAGCTCTGAACCTGTGTGTGTGTCCCTGCTTGATACCTGCTTGTCTACTGCCTTGTGTTCAGGCTGGGCTGCTACTTCACATGGGAAATGCCTCCCAGCACATCCCTCACACACGTTCTTCCCTAAGGTGAGCCAACTGCCTTAGGGAGGCTAGGATGAAGGAGACCTAAAGCCCCGAGAGAGAAAGAGCCAGAGAGCCCACGAGTCTGCAGGATAGATGCCCCAGCCTTGCTCACCTCAGTGCTTAGCAGTGTTGGATGGGTCTTTATCTGCTCCAGTGGCTGGGGCCACCTGACCAATGCTGCTTATTGGCTACTGTATGTACCCAGCCCAGCATATTAGTGCTGTGTACAACCTCCAACCTGTGAGGTAAAATGTTAAAAAAAATCCTATCTGTGCTGACCATGTGCAGATGATTTCTGTGCAGCAGCTGTTCACATAGTACTTAATGCTAGGTATAATTCAGAGGTGATTCACAGCATATGGAAAGATGTGCACAGGTCATAGGCAAACACTGTGGCACTTTATATCAGGGACTTGGGTGTCTGTGGATTCTCGCCTGGAGGTGGGCTCCAGGGAGTCTTCAGTGGGCTCACGTATGGACTGCAGCAGCCTATACCACTCTATCATTAGCAACTGATCTCATGTTCTGGTGTTGAATGTCTCTGAGTGATTTTTTTTAGTTTACATGTTGACAGTGTTTAACTCCAATAATAATCTGTTACATAAAAATAAAGTGATTCTTACACAAGTGTTGGGAGCAGTGGATGTTGTAAGACTGTTAACTCTGGAAATTACAGTGTTTCAGTGTCCTGGTTGTTGGTCAGACAGTAGCTACATTTTAAGTAACAGCATTCCTCATTTCCACTGATTAAAAAATGTACGAACTGTTTTTTATAGAATAGATGGGCTGTTAGGTTTCCTCTCTATAATCGTCAAGAGCCATGTCCCTAGAGAACAGGCTTTAGTGTACTAAACCCAAAACTCCCACAGCTCATACCCAAAACCAAGGTAGCCCCACCCCCTTTCTTGCTCTTGTTTCAGAATTACATAACTTCCTGAACATGAATTAACATTCCAGAATTTTCTTCTTGTAGCAGGAGCGGCAGAGAGGACAGGCGTGGAAAGGGGAATTGTCTCCCAAGGAGAACTCTTCTAAAGCCAGGAGGCAGGTATGGTGGAATAGGTGTGCACAGGACAGGACGACTGTCTCTCGGGGTCGCTGGCCGCTGGTCCCTCTAGCTGCTTGCCGGCAGTCACCATGGAGGGAGAGCGGGGTCAGGCAGATGGAACACTCATAGATTTCACGGTGAGCAGCCTGCAGCACAGGGCAGAGAGGAACTTGTCATGGGGTAACTGTCCTATTCCTTTCCAGTTACTCAGACCCACAGTAAGACATGGGTCCTCTGTAAATGAGCAGCACACTGTGTTAAAATCCTGTGAGATGTGTAGGGATTGTAACCCACCTGTCATAAACAATTTTAAAATATACTTAAAAATGCTGAGCATTGGGGCTGGAGAGGTGGCTCAGGGGTTAAGAGCACTGGCTGTTCTTGCAGAGGACCCAGGTTTGGTTCCCAGCATCCACATGGTGGCTATCAACCATCTATAACTCCAGTTCCAGGGGATCTGATACTGTCTTCTGGCCTCCACAGGCACTGCACAACACAGGTGTGCAGGCAGAACACTAATACACATAAATACAAGTAAAAAATGCTGAGCAGCCAGGCATGGTGGCGCACGCCTTTAATCCCAGCACTCGGGAGGCAGAGGCAGGCAGATCTCTGTGAGTTCAAGGCCAGCCTGGTCTACACAGTGAGTGTAGGACAGCTGGGGCTACAGGGAGACCCTGTATATATATATATATATATATATACACACACACACATATATATATACACACACATATATGTATATATTTATTTTATGTGTATGAGTGTATTGCTTGCATGTATGTGAGTGCACCCGTGTCCTGTAATGCCGCAGAGGTCAGAAGAGGGCTTTGGATTCCCCTGGAACTGGAGTTGAGGACGGTTCATAGCTGCCACGTGGGTGCTGGGAATCAAACCTGGGTCCTCTGCAAGAGCAGTCAGTGCTCTTAACCACTGAGCCATCTCTCCAGCCCCCATAACTGTTAAACTTTTAAATAAATGTTCCCAGTCCTCATCTTAGCTTTGAATCATCTGAGTCCTCTTTTCCTTCCCTGAAAAGCTGCCACAGATGCAGAAAGAGGGTAGGCTAGAGCGATAGGAAGCTCCAGCAGGGCAGAAAGCATGGGCTTTTGTTGTTTATGTGTGCTACCCAACTGGAGCTTTAGCCATTTCAAAATAAAGGGACCCTAGTGTTCATCACTGAGCTCATGGCGAAAGCCTGGGTGCCCCTGACCAGGGAAGACCCTACCAGGCTCCTGCCTCACAGCCCTCCCTTCCTGACCTGTGGCCGCAGTCTATTTTGCTGAGGGCCGGAAAGTGGGCCTGAAGCTACCTGCACTTGAATTTTCTCCCAGTCTTCTTCCGTGATCTCACCACCACACTTGTCGTCCAACTGCTGAAGGATGCTGCGATTTACAGCCAAGCAGAGGTCAATTTCTGAGAAGAGCTCATCTATGTTGGTGTCGTAGGAACACAGGATGCGGTGACTGATTTCTGTGAACTGAGTGACAGAGGCACAGGCTGGAGATCCCAAAGGACAGGGCTGGGTCCTTCCCGAAGGAGGAACTTTTCCTTCCTTCTCTCCAGAAGTCATCAGGAGGCCCTACTGTGACAAGAGGGTCCTCTGAGGACAGGGTGCCGAGAGGTCTCTGGAACAGGTCTGGCCAAGCTGCCCTTACTGCCCTCAGCTTGCCCTGTTCTCGCCTTCCCTGGGACTTCCCACTCCATCAACACAGGCACTAGCTCCCTGAGACTTGGTGGTTGGCTCAGCCCTTCATTCCTGCAGGAAGGTGCCCATGCCACAGGAGACTGCTATTAAATAAGTGTTTATCTTTTCTTCCTTTTCTTCCTTCTGTTGATTTAAATCACAGGATTTCAGCTCAAGAATTTAGGAGTTTACTGGCTGTTAGCAAGGAATTGGGATTAAATGCCAACGGGGGAGGTGTTAGAACTTTATGGAGGGAGGACTGGCATCGCATAGTGCCAGATATGTGGCGACTAGAGCTGCCTCTCACCTCTTGCTCACCAGCTCTCTTCCCTGTGAAACCAGGGCTCCAGATTGTGAATGATCTGAGTGTGATCAGAAGAGAGGAAACCCAAGGGAAAGACGAGGTTGCCTTCTCTTGGCTTTCTCCTTTCTTCACCAAGCTCTCAACTCATAATTTGAAAAGACTCCTTGCCTGAAGACTGTAAATTTTTTCCTTCAATAGAGGTAACCAATCTATGGACAGCTAGATGCTCTCACTACAGAAAGATCTTTTGGGACTTCTGTTAAAATTCTATACTGGTAGTTGTAGGTACGGTGCAGCATTATACACACTACCTCAAGTACTGACCTTAAGTCAAGTCTCCAATATTCTTCCAAGTCCAGTTCTTCCATAAAATAATGTATTTTTTTTATATAAACAGACTTAGAAAACCATTTGTTTTTGGACAGATGATTTGGGTATTAGATGCTGGCTGAGTGGCAGGGCATGTGGTTACCTCCTAGTGAGTGGCACAGCTGCCAGAGCCACAGGACTCCAACACTTAGAGCACACACTAGTATGAACTAGTGTACACACAGGAAGGTGGGGCACGCCTACATGATGCAGTTGTCACACAGTTTTCTGGGCAACTTCCTCACCGGCATCACCCTAACGCCTGCTCGCTTCCTGACTCATCTGGACATGTCTGCTCTGATTCTCCTGGTCTCTGATTATACAGTTATAAAGACCCAACCCTCTGTGCCTATTTTTCCCTCAAAATGCTACTGCCCCATTTTAAAAGGGCAAAGTCTTATGATTACTATATTATTTATTAGGAACTTAAAAAATGCCTTAAACTTTAGTGTTGGGGGGGGCTTGTATTAAGATAGTAACGAGAGATAACTATGACTCATCTTCACATAGACGGAACTGGTAAAGGAAAGGAGCCAGGGGCTCCTCCCAAGACCATGTTACCCCTGAGGAACAGGTCCTCAAACAGCCTTAAGAGTAAAAATAAATTGTTTTATCTGGGCCAACTGTAGGGTTTTAAACACCCAAAAGGAAAGTAAGATTAATGGGGGGTCAATATAATTTTTTAAGAGTCAATATGTATAGCTAAAGGCTACATAACAAGAAACTATGCCAGACAGGAGACACCTTCCTTTGAGTTATTGGCCAAGGTGGCGCAAGAGACTCCCAGACAGTAACCCAGCACAGAACTGGGAAAATGAACAGCAGACCCCAAGTTTATCTAAAGGAATATTGACAACTGATTGCTGCTAGATGAGGAACAGCTGACCTTCCTAATGCACAGACCTCTAGATAGGCTGACTAGATCAGCAGACGGACAAGCACTGGAGAAGACATAACAGGGATGACAGAGTATATGGGCACCAGTATGTGGGAGGGGAGGCTATGGGAGGTGCCATTTGGGAAGTGGGTGTATAGATGAATAAGACTGAGATGTTCTGTGTGATACACACACAGAAAAATCAAAAATTTAAAAAAACCCCAGCACTCAGGAGGCTGAAGCAGAAGGAGCACAAGTTTGAAGATAGCCTGGGCTACATTGTGAAACCCTGTCTCAAAACAAAGTGTTTTTGTTAGTGTTTTGCTTACAAAGTTGACAGGTTTTAGTGGTCTGCTCCAACCCATTTCGCACAAGTCCTGCATGATTTTATTTTTCTTAATTGGTTACATTTATTGAAAGTATAGATTATTCATCCTGTACTTAAATGTCATTTTGGTTGTGGCCTTACGTTCATAAAACATAATTGTAAGGAATTCACAAATTCACAGAAGTCCAGATGTTAACATAGATGACTGACTAGAATGGTACCGTTTCACACATCATCCCCCTTTAATGTGCTACAGAAAACGTAATTCCACAGCATTTGCCATTATACCAGGATTCATGGAGGCAAACATCATAGGTGCAAGGGCACACTCTGATCACATATGAATTTTCGTATTTCACAGCTACTTTTATAATTTAGATACCAAGGTCGGCTAAGTCAGCCCAAGTTTTCTTAACAAGCAGAACAGTCATGTCTCTTCGGGTTCATCTTTTGGGGCCTGTCCTTTGCAGGTAAGAGGAACCATAACCAGGTTCTTCATGCCATGCATTCACAAGTGACACTCAGTCTTCATGTGCTGCCTGGTTTCTGTAAGGAACCACACTGGGTGTCCAGCTTAGATGAGAGTCCCTGCATCCTGGACACCATGGCTCTGCCTCAGTCCCAATGTGAGGTTTTAGCAACACATACGTAGAGGTGTTCAGGTGGAAGATGGCAGTGGTATCACAGGGCTCACGGAGCCCAGAAGTCAATCTCCTCGGATGACTCGGGAGGTGAATCACTTTCTGGATTCCAATTAGACTATAACATTTGGATTCTCTCAGTGAGAGGAAAAACAGTTACTGTTGAGGGCATCATTTAAGACTGGGAAAAATGGGTCTGTGGTACTGCACAGTAGTGGTTCTTCAAGGGTGCATATAGTCCTCTCAGAGTAGCACATGATATACTCCTATTTTTTAAAATTTTTATGTGTGAGTGTATTGAGTGTATTGCCTGCATGTGTGTAAGTGCACTGTGTCATGCAATGCCCATGGAGATCAGAAGAAGGCATCAGATCCCCTGGAACTGGAGTTACAGATGGTTGTGAACTGCCATGTGGGTGCTGGGATTCAAACCCGAATCTTCTAGAGAAGACTCATGTAAAAGTCTTTACCATAATAAAATTGCCTTGGGGACTTTGTGAACAGACCCAGGAAGTACTCTAGGCCATCATGTGACAGAAATACAGTGGATGCTACATGTGTAACACTGAAATTTCTAGCACCTTGAAAAGGCTTCTAAGGTAGAATTTTAATTTTGTTCCCCTAATATATCCAAAATACCATTTGAACATTTCCAATTGAATACGCTATAAATTGGATAGTTCACATTGCTATTCCCTATGAGTCTGGAGCCCGTGTGCACTGAACACATGGATCCTGTCTCAGACCTGCCTCATTCCCAGGACGCCAAACTGAGGTGGCTTGTGATCACATGCTGAACTCTGATGTCTCAGAAGACATGCAGCTTAAGGGACTGGGTTAGTAAAGAGTAGCCACCAGTGCCCTCTGAGGCAGGAGAGGAAGCGCTTCAGGGCCACTGACAGCTCCTCTTTGAAACTTGCAGGGGTTGTGGACATGGCTCAGTGGTAATTCACTTACTTAACCATCACAAGTGAGGCACTGGGCTCCATCCCCAGGGCTAAAAAATACTTAGAGATCAACAGGAAAACTGTCTGTTAGAGGGGTGCAGCAGTAGCCGCTGTCAGCTGACCATACTTTCTTGCTCATCTATCCACAGCACAGAGCTGTATAAGCTATCTCACCTAGAAATGATTTTCCCACTCGCCAGTGTGCCTGGAAACAGTCTGAATTGTTTGGGAGTCTCTGAGACCCTGAGGATGACAGAGCACAGGATGTGAGTGCAGGCCCAAGTCCCACAGGCTGGAAGCTTGCAGGCCAGAGCACCTGCTGTACCCGAGGGAGCTCTGCGCTTGATTACACAGGCACGCACGCTGTTCTTACAGCCTCACACTTCTGACCAGGACATGCAATCAACCCTGTTTGTATAATTATTGATACCTGTCACCTGTGTCTATCCTGTTTCCTGTCCTGCCATTTTAAATTTATTTTCATTTTTAAAATTAATTTATTGTTTCTTGTTTATTATGTTTTGGTCTTTTTGATACAGGCTCTCCCTATAGCCCCAACTGGCCTGGCATTCACTATATAGACCAGGCTGGCCTTGATCTCACAGATCCACCTGCCCCTGCCTTCAGAGTGCTGGGACTAAAGATGTGTGCCACCACACCCGGCCTTTGTCCTGGGATTAAAGATGTGTGCCACCACACCCAGCCATTGTCCTGGGATTAAAGATGTGTGCCACCACACCCAGCCTTTATCTTGTCCCTTTTTAAAATTACAAATTTTCTATGTGTATGTGAATGCCATGGTGTAAGTCAGAGGACAACTTTTGGGAGTCAGTCCTAGGCTGTTGTGAGGTTTAACAGTAAGAGCCTTTACCCACTGAGCCATTGCACTATCCTAAGCCATCCTGCTGGCCCCCACATTAAAAAAAAAATCTCTGTTCTCCAGTTTCTGTTTCTAGTTTTTCTCTAATTGCCTTGAAGGTTAAAATTCCTGTTCTTTTGGTACCGTTCTGTGACAGTCCAGAGCTAAGCAGTCTCCACCCTCTGGTCAACACGGGATCCTTGTGTGCTCTCAGTCATCATCTTGTTCATTCCCCGGGTACAGAGTGTTCTGTGTTAGCTTGTGCAGGCCACACTGTCATTCTTGGTGCAGTCTGTGAGCTCCCTCTCCCCTTTTAAAATCCACTTACACCTCTGACTTCCCAGCTGGGGCCATTCTTCAGGGAACGCAATCTTCAGGACTACTCTTATGGAGGCATTTTAGAGCCATAATGGCCCCTCCACCTGGTTTTTCCCTGGCCTTCGTTCATGCACATAGTGTTCATTTAGT